TTCAATTTGCAAGAGTTTCACGGATTGAGGGGGGTGGTTACCAAACTGTGGCTCTCGCCGTAGCGCCACGCACATTCGTTTTTTGTTAAATTGCAAAAAGGTTTCACGGATTGAGGGCGGGTCTTTTTCAAAATGTGGCTCTCGCCGTAGCGCCGCGAACAGTCGAATTAATAAACATTTGCAAGAGCTTCACGGATTGAGGGCGGGTCGTTTTCAAAATGTGGCTCTCGCCTCAGCGCCGCGCACATTCTTTCAACAAAAAATGCAAGGGCTTCACGGCTTGAGGGCGGGCCGTTTTCAAACTGTGGCTCCCGCATTAGCGCCACGCGCATTCGAATTAAACATTTGCAAGAGATTCACGGATCGAGGGCGGTTCCTTTTCAAAGTGTGACTCTCGCCTTAGCGCCGCGCATATTCATTTCAGGAAGTTGCAAGAGTTTGACGGATTCCCATGATCAGCGAAGCAAGAATAGTTTTTGGGAAGAATTCAGGATTACGCGGGTGCAACATCTATATTGGTTCGTGGTGCTGGATTCCAGATCGTCAAGACGCAGCAGTCAGGTTGATCCGTGGCGTGGAAATCCCAAGAACAATGTTTTGGCATGCTTCAAGGTCTTCAAACGGTTGTCTTCCAACGGGGCAGTTCCCTCAATGGAGAGGAGCCGTTGTAGGGGCCTATGAAGAGGGAGCTTGGAGGGAGGGTTGATTCCAACATCGTTGATGACTCTTGCGTTTACACTGGTCCTCGTCCTCCTCCTCCTCCTCCTCCTGCTGCTCCTCCCCCTGCCTCGCCACCCCAGCAGGGCGTCCAGCACGTGCGCCAGGGAGGCCCGAAGTTTCTTGCCACTTCGGTGCATTGTTGTGGCAGAGTTAGGTCGGGCATGTCCTCCTACAGGCGGATTGTATACGAAAAATCGCCAAAACACCAAAAATGCCCCAAAGTAGTCGCAGAATGCTCAGAAACAAAGTCCCCGGACTACTTTCTGACTATTTTTGAATATTCCTCCTGTAGAGGGACAGGCCCGACTTAATTTGGCGGCGCGCAGAAGGGGGTGGAGGGAGGGGGGAAGGCTTCTTGGAAGGAGGCTGCTTCTTAGAAGGCGGCGGCCTTACACCTATACATAAGGACCGCGCCTTCTAAGAAGCAGGGGTGCTTCTAAGAAGCCTTCCCCCCTCCCCCTACCCCCTTCTGCGCGTGGCCGATTGATGGTAGAGGTGGGGGGGGATGAGCAGAAGTATGGGGAACTGGCGAAGCCCCGCGGCTCGCCAAAGTCTGGGTGCCGGTCGTGCGCAGCCTCGCACGGCCTGCCGAGAAAGACACCCCAGGCTCGGGCCCTCTGAGGGGTCAGGAGATGCCAACAGCCTCGGGGCCCCGTTCTCCTCAGGGCACCTCCTCGTCACGCTCCAGGCGTGCGGGCTTTGTGCTGCGAGGTGGCCTTTGAGGTGCGCCCGTGCGACGTGGGGAAGGAGGGCACCGACGCAGGAGGGAGACATCGCCCCCCCCACACAAGGGCCCTCTGTTCCCAGACCCCCGGCTTCGTGTCCATTTCATGACGCGAGCCCCCCGAGGTCTGGACCCCTTCGCGGGCACCGGCTTCTCATCCCGAGCCGTTTTGGATGACCCCGAGGCCGGGTGAGGATACGAAACCGTTTACCCGGGAACCGTTTCTCCGGAACCGCTTCCCCGGGACCGTTTCCCCGGAGGACCGTTTCCCCGGAGACCTCTTCCCCAGAGACCGCTTCCCCGGAGGAGCGTTTCCCCGGGACCGTTTCCCCGGTTCCGTTTCCCCGGGAACGCTTGCCTGGAACCGTTTCCCCCGATCCGTTTCCCCGGAGCCGGTTCCCCAGAACCGGTTCCCCGCAACCCGTTCCCCTGGACCGTTTCCCCGGTGCACCGTTTCCCCGGAACCGCTTCCCCGGAACCGGGTCGGGCTCGGGTCGGGCAGGACATTCAAACATAATGCATCATCGAGTTGGCACGCGAATACCCTAACGGGCGGGACGGGTCCGGCGGGCCGGCGGACCCGAACGGGCGGACCCAAACGGGCGGGACGGGTCGGGTCGGGCGGGCGGGACATTCAAGTAGAGTGCATCATCGAGTTGGCACGCGAGTACCCTAACGGGCGGGACGGGTCCGGCGGGCCGGCAGACCCTAACGGGCGGGACGGGTCGGGTCGGGTCGGGCGGACCCTAACGGGCGGGACGGGTCGGGTCGGGCGGGACATTAAAGAATGATGCACCATCGAGTTGGCACGCGAATACCTTAACGGGCGAGACGGTCCCAGCGGCGGGCGGACCCTAACGGGCGGGACGGGTCGGGTCGGGCGGGCGGACCCTAACGGGAAAGGTCGGGTCGGGTCGGGCGGGCGGGACATTAAAGTATGATGTACCATCGAGTTGGCACGCGAGTACCCTAACGGGCGGGACGGGTCCGGCGGGCCGTCGGACCCTAACGGGCGGGACGGGTCGGGTCGGGCGGGCGGACCCTAACGGGCGGGTCGGGTCGGGTCGGGCGGGCAGGACATTAAAGTATGATGCACCATCGAGTTGGCACGCGAGTACCCTGACGGGCGGGACGGGTCCGGCGGCCCGGCGGACCCTACGGGCGGGACGGGTCCGGCGGGCGGGCGGACCCTAACGGGCGGGACGGGTCGGGTCGGGCGGGCGGGATATGAAAATATGAGCATCATCGAGATGGCACGCGAATACGCTAACGGGCGGGACGGGTCCGGCGAGACGGCGGACCCTAACGGGCGGGACGGGTCGGGTCGGGTCGGGCGGGCCCTAACGGGCGACGGGCCGGGTCGGGCGTGCGGGACATTAAAGAATGATGCACCATCGAATTGGCACGCGAGTACCCTAACGGGCGGGGCGGGTCGGGCGGGCGGACCCTAACGGGCGGGACGGGTCGGGTCGGGCGGGCGGACCCTAACGGGCGGGTCGGGTCGGGTCGGTCGGGCGGGACATGAAAGTATGATGCATCATCGAGTTGGCACGCGAGTACCCTAACGGGCGGGACGGGTCTGGCGGGCGGGCGGACGGTCGGGTCGGGCGGGCGGACCCTCACGGGCGGGACGGGTCGGGTCGAGCGGGCGGGACATAAAATAATGGTGCATCATCGAGTTGGAACGCGAGTACCTTAACGAGCGGGACGGGTCCGGCGGGCGGACCCTATCGGGCGGGTCGGGTCGGGTCGGGCGGACACTAAAGTACGGTGCGCCATCGAGTTGGCGCGCGAGTACCCTAACGGGCGGGACGGGTCGGGCGGGCGGACCCCCACGGGCGGGACGGGTCGGGTCGGGCGGGCGGGACATTAAAGTATGATGCATCATCGAATTGGCACGCGAGTACCCTAACGGGCGGGACGGGTCGGGGCGGGCGGGACGGGTCGGGTCGGGCGGGCGGACCCTCACGGGCGGGACGGGTCGGGTCGGGCGGGACATAAAATAATGGTGCATCATCGAGTTGGCACGCGAGTACCCTGACGGGCGGGACGGGTCCGGCGGGCGGACCCGAACGGGCGGGTCGGGTCGGGTCGGGCGGACATTAAAGTATGGTGCGCCATCAAATTGGCACCCGAGTACCCTAACGGGCGGGACGGGTCCGGCGGGCGGGCGGACCCTGACGGGCGGGGACGGGTCGGGCGGGCGGACCCTAACGGGCGGGACGGGTCGGGCGGGCGGGCGGACCCTAACGGGCGGATCGGGTCGCGTCGGGCGGGCGGGACATTAAAGTATGATGCACCATCGAGTTGGCACGCGAGTACCCTAACGGGCGGGACGGGTCCAGCGGGCGGGCGGACGAGTCGGGTCGGGCGGGCGGACCCTCACGGGCGGGACGGGTCGGGTCGAGCGGGCGGGACATAAAATAATGGTGTATCATCGAGTTGGCACGCGAGTACCCTAACGGGCGGGACGGGTCCGGCGGGCGGACCCTAACGGGCGGGTCGGTCGGGTCGGGCGGACATTAAAGTATGGTGCGCCATCGAGTTGGCACGCGAGTACCCTAACGGGCGGGACGGGTCCGGCGGGCGGGCGGACCCTGACGGGCGGGATGGTTCGGGTCGGGCGGGCGGGCCCTAACGGGCGGGACGGGTCGGGTCGGGCGGGCAGGACATTTAAGTATGATGCGCCATCGAGTTGGCACGCGAGTGCCCTAACGGGCGGGACGGTCGGGCGGGCGGACCCTAACGGGCGGGACGGGTCGGGTCGGGTCGGGCAGGACGGGTCGGGTGGGTGGCCCTCGATGATGGATGAGGGAGGAGAGGGGAGGAGGAAGTAGGGAGGGATGAGGGATGTGGGGCGGGGGGACGTAGCGGCAACGAGGGATGGGGGAGGGCGGGAGGGCAGAGAGGGATAGATGAGGAGGAGGAGGAGGGGGAAGAAGAGGAGGAGCAGCAGCAGCAGCAACAACAGCAGCAGCAGTGTAATGAGAGTGAGTAGCAGGAAGAAGTCGCCTCTGTGGAACCCGTCCTGTGGAACCGGTCCTGTGGAACCAATCCTGTGGAACCGGGCTTGTGGAACCGGTTCTGTGGTACCGGTCCTGCGGAACCAGTCCTGTGGAACCGGTTCCGTGGAACCGGTTCTGCGGAACCGGTCCTGTTGAACCGGTCCTTGTTGAACCGGTCCTTGCTGAACTGGTCGTCTGTTGAACCGGTGTCTGTTGAACCGGTCGTTGAACCGGTCCCTGTTGAACCGGTCGTCTGTTGAACTGGTCTTCTTCCCCGGTGAGGACCCCCTGGTGCCGAAACGACCGCGCAGAGCCCTCCGTCGCGCCTCTGCCGCGGCTGTCCTCTTGAGGGGCGCCGGGCTGCGACACTTTTTGATCTGCGGGGCGAGAGCGAACCTCGCCCGCTAGAAGCTAAGCGGGCCGCGCACAGCTTCAATTAGCAGAGAAGGGGCGAAAGACGGCGGGGCCTCACGGCGGCCGGGAGAGGGCGGAGGCTGGGCTGCAACACGCGCCGAGGCCGCGCAGCGGGGGAGGGGGGCGGGGCGCGGGGC